ACCGGTGGCGCTGGTGGTTTGTTTTGGGGGCGCGATGGGGAAGGGGGCAGGAGTAGCTGCGCGGAGGGGCTCAGGCATCGTCGCTGGAAGCGGCCGGCACGTCTGGCGGACGGGCAGGGGCAAGTCGGAGAGTCCGTGGCGAGAGGAGACCCGTTTGCGTTGGAAAAGGGCGGCCGATGGACAGCGTGGGACGGACGGTGCAGCTGCCCTTCGTTTTGGTAGAAGGGGGCCGGCGGCAGGCGTTTTGTTCCGAGAATGTGCGGCCGAGGGTTGTCCGGCGAGAGAATGGGGCTCCCTGGAAAGCCAGAGTAGTGGAGGGTGGTGGGAGTCCCGTCCAGCCGCAGAATTCCCTCGGAGACGTTGGGGCAGTCGCTTTCTCGGCCCAGCCTACCTCGCAGGGTTGTTGTTGTGGGGCTAGACTAGGAAAGACCCTGTCCCCCATTGTCGAGCTCTCAGAGATAAAGTAGGATACTAATGCGGTAGAAAAACAAACGGTGCAGCATGGTGATGATCCGTGGGCGATCTGGTCTGGGGGAGCCCAGTGTAAACAGTTCTGTATGGGAAGCAAGCATTGCCACTCTTCTCACCCCGCTTTCGCGCACAGGCTGATTCTAAACCTTGACAGTACGCTCTGTGTTGTTGTAGAAAAGAGAAGGCACATTTAAAATAAAAAATAAAACCCACCAGAACCCATAATCACAGCTCCATTAGTTGTCCCTGATTGTATTTTTTTTTAAGGATGAGAAGTGGTTATGGTGATAAGCATCAAGGCCAGAAAGTTCTGACATACCAGGACAAATGTGGTCCTGCCTCCTTTTACACTCTGGTCATTTGGAGCCTTAATAAACTAGCCTGTTCTGGTCTTCAACTTAATGGGACAACTGAATGAGATTTAGGAGTAGCTGGTGGGTTATTTCAAAGACACGCGTGGTTGGGCTGGTGAAGAAAGTGTGGACCTCATGAGCTAACATAAAAAGGAATAGGAGCATATTTTAGTTGAATTGGCAAGATTCTTGCAAAATTTACTTGGCAGCATTTTGGAAAAGGTGATTATGTGAAGATTAAAAGATGAGCTGGACCTGAATGGGCAGGGGAGTAGAAGATCACAGTCTGCCATTCTGAGCTCTTTTAAAGAAGGAATAAATATACTTGCATCTTGGTTGATAAGCTGTAGTCAACAGTATGTTGGCCTGAAATTGTAGCTTGCATAGAACAATGTGACCATGCTTGGAGTGAAACAGGGCTTTGGTTATGTTTGGGCTGTTTTGTCCAAAATGTGCCAATACTGTCCTTACTGTTAGTAGGAATTGTTGTGCATGATACAAGAATAACTAAGGCTGACAACCTAGTCTATCTTCTCTGTGTTACTAAAAAGTGTTTTGTGAAAGCCTTGATTGACAAAAAAACATGATAAGTAGTGGACAGCACTGTCCATGGGGCGGGGGGGGGGTGAAAATTGGCAAGATGGCAGTGGAAGCATTATGATGCAGTCCCTACCTCTTTTGAATGCATTTGTGACATAGATGCAGATTGAAAAGGGGCAGGGCTTGCATTGTAATGCTCTGTCTGCTACTTCGCTGATTTTGCTCCCATGCCCCCACAGACTCTGCTGGCAGAGAAGGTCAATTCATTTGGGCCCAGCTGGAGATTATTATTATATTTCTATCCTGTCTATCTGGTACAACTCAAGATGGCATATATGGCATATGAAAGATTGCAATATGGAGTGTTAGAGAAATAAATGGTGAATATGATGAATTGAACAAAATGAAAGAAAAATATGTTGTGTGTTTGTGAAACTAAAAAGAGAGGTGAAATAGATCTGAATGAAGATGGCATGATTTTGTGGAGCAGAGTTGATGAACATAGGCAAAGATATAAAGGTGAAGATTTAATTATAAATGAAAAGAAGAAAACATACTCTAATACATATGCTTCACAAAGGGGCCTCACTCAAAATAAGATGTAACCCCCAGGGCCATTTCACCAGTGCCATTGGAACTGAGAAAGGCATCAAACAAGGCTGCATATTGGCCCCACTCTTACTCAATTTCTATATCAACTCCATGGTAGGCCATCTCCTCAACACAAACTTTCTCTCCCCAAAACTTGCTGGAAGACACATCTCTGTTCTTCTCTATGCAGAAGTTGCAGCAATTCTTTCAAGTACATCTGTTGGCCTTAAAAGAGCACTGAGAGCACTAACACAGTACTGCAAGGAAGACCAGTTAGTACTCAATTATCAGAAAACTAAACTCATGGCAATTGCCAAAAGGCCCAAGAGCCACCCCTGGAGCATAGATGGCCACAAGATTGAGCAGGTCTCCTGTTTCAAATACCTGGGAGTAGTCCTTCATTCTGCCAGCAGTAGGGAAGCCCATGAGACTACCTTACTGAAAATGCACAGAGAAGCTTATCTGCCATCCTTAAATTCCTCAAGACAAGAGGTGGCCACTATATTCCTGCATCACTCAAATTATTTGAAGCCAAGCCAATAACACAACTTCTTTATGGTGCCCAGTTGGGCCCCTTCTCCAATTTTGCACCATTAGAACTTGTACAATCCAAATTTCTAAGATCGGCCCTTCAAGTCCTAAAATGTGTCTCTAATGCCACCCTGAGATTAGAGACAGGCCTCATGAAAGTCGAGGCTAGAGTGTGGGTGACCATACTCAACTATTGGCTCACACTATCTGTTTTTCCCCTTGGCCTTGCCCCATTAACTATGAGGGATGCTTTTCTGTCCACATGGAAACAGGCAGTAGCAACTAAAATCTCATCCTTGGGCTTCTCTCCAGGTCTTCTACTTGGCATGGGATATGACCAGCCATAGCACTTATTAAACAACATGCAGCAGACAGAGCACCAATTGGATCTAGCCAGGTCCCCAACCTTTATTGCCAGTGAATCCAACAGGTATTCTGCCTTCCCTATGAAATACTTAACTAAACTTGAAGTACCTAACACTGGAGGGCCTTTACTCTGGCACAGTGTCATGCCCTCCCCTCAGCTGTCCTTGAAGGCCGATGCAGGAAGATTCCTCACCCAGAGAGACAATGCCCCTGTGATTCTGGACACACAGAAACAACAGTGCATGTGCTTGTCCTGTGTTACAAGACATTTGTACTAGCCTCATCTCACCATTATTGTATAAATACCCAGGACACACAGGACAATTCTGCACCTCCCTGCTGCTTTCAGATACCAACCCTGCTACAACATATAATGTTGCCAGGTTCTGCGCATCAGCAGTTAAAACCTGTGCCATAAACAACTCTTAATAAGCATCTAGTTCATCATATTAGTACGCTCTGTAATTGGATAGATATAGTCTGCTATTTACTAACCTTTATGCTCCCCTACACACTTCTAATGCTCCTACCCCTCCTTTTAGTTTCCTTTTAGATATATTGTTTTATATCTTTTAGCTTTTTATTATTATTATTATTATTTTAGACTCTGATGTATTTTCTATGCTATTTAATTGACTGTATCCCACCCTCCTTATGCTGGTCTTTGACCACAATAAAGGATTGATTGATTGATTGATTGATTGATTGATTGATTGATGAAAACATGTTGGTGCATATGAAAGTAGGAATTGTTAAGTTGGTGACAGGTACATGTTATGATACAGTGAATGTGATAATAGAAGAACCAAGTATGAGTCTGGGGAAATATTTATTTATTTATTTTTTTATTTTTAAACTTGTATGCCACCCATCTCCTCCAGCGGGTGACTCTGGGCAGCTCACAATAACAAAAAAGAAAAAACACACCAATTCCTCCAACAGTGGCTAAAATCCGTAAATAATTAAAATACAAACATACATTAAAAAGTCCTAAAACCCCCCTATATATTTTAGCACTAACACCTTCAGGATGCTGGGGGGGAACCAGAACCCATCACCCCACCAGCCATCTCCACAGATGCGAGCCCCCATCCAGCCCCCAGGGCTTCTGGCAAAGCCAGGATTTAACCCCTTTTCTGAAGGCCATGAGGGAGGGGGTACACCAGACCTCGGGAGGCAGGATGTTCCATAGGGCGGGAGCCACAGCAGAAAAGGCCCTCTGCCTAGACCCCACCAATCAAAATTGGTGCAACATTTTGTGAAAATAGTAGAACATTTTGAATAAATGCAACCTGGTAGAAGCAATTATTTTGCTAGGGGACATGACTGGATGGATGGAAATGAGATGAGAGAATACAAAAAAGGTTATTGGGGCATTTGGAGACCTATAGATGAGAATGATTGGAGAATATCTGCTTAGAATATCTGTTTGTTTTGAATGTGCATGTGTATTCATGTGTACCCATAGCAAAGGAATAATTGTAAATAGAAAAGCATGATTGATTTTATTGTTTTTGATGAAAGACTGAGAGAATTAGTGAAGGCAGCAAAGATGATGAGAGGTCCCAAAGGAAAAGTGAAATGAAGTCTAAATATTAGTGTCGAAAAATGGGTGAAATGCTATGAGAATATTAAAAAACGGTAGTGCTGCAGGGTTAGATTGTACAAACTGGGAAATGTGTAGATATGGTTTGCTTATGAAATTGTTGTGCAACTTGTTTAATATACATGTGAGGACTATATCTGTGCCTTTTGACTGGAAGAATGCTGCTGTTGTTTCTCAACATAAAGGGAAGGATAAGAAGAGGAACTGCAAAAACTACAGGGGAATTGCTTTATTAAGCGTACCTGGAAAGGTGTTTGAAAGAGTAGGATAATTAACAATGAGCAAAATTCAGAAAGTGCAGTGTGACTATGCTGGGCAAGAGGTAGGTGGACCAGATATTGTATGGAGTTGATGAGGTCCTGAAAAAGAGAGAAATAATACTTTTTAAAGAACAAAAGGCAATGTATGAGATAACATATGGATGTAGTAGAAATGAGTGGTTTGAGGATAGAAAGATATCAAGAGGTATAGTGAATGGTGTTGGTGTAATTAGTTTTAGTCATATTTTCTTCTCTCTTTGTTACGTCATCCCTTTCATTTCTTTGACTTAGGTTTCTTACTCCTTCTTTGTGCTCTGTATAATGTTGCTTACCCAGAAAGGGAATAATGTGATGGTACATTATTATATGCATTGTATATAATTGTATATAATGCATTGTATATAGAATTGTATGTGATTCTGTAGTTTTCAGTTTAAATGCTGCTTTTTATTTTTTAAGAGAAAAAAATCTCCAAAGAGATTAGCGTCTTAAAAAAAAATACAGTACAAAGCTACCTACATAGAATGAAGCTTTTGCTAATGAGAGAGACTAGCAGTGTTCTGGGGAGAAGAAGATAGACTTGGTGACTGAAACTTAGGCAAAATCCTTGATGTGTCTGCAAACAACCAAACGCATTGAAGCCAGTCCCAGCTTAATTAATAATAACCATCTTTATGTTAACTTAATCACCATTGTGGTTGCTTGCTGATGGCTGATAGTTGCAGTTTTTTAGGAGGGGAACTGATTAGGGTTGGAAAGGTGGACTAGATTGGGGAAAAGAGAAACAAGCTTCCATCTGTGTCCAAAGGCTAACAGAGAGGATCATCGTTAAAATAATACTGTCTTTGAGGTCCAGTTGACATAAGGAATCAGAGCCAAGGTAAACTACCAACAAGAAACTTTGGAAAAATTAACATCTTTCATAACCATGTGTCAACTCAAGATCTGGGTTTGAATGAACATAATAGGTTTTTTTAAAAAAACAGGCATAGAGTATTACAGTATACTGATAAGATCTATTGGGTGGTTTAGGGCTGGGGAGGTATAGGAACTGATTTATGAGGGAGAAAGTATAGAGATGTTGAATTGTTAAGGTAGTTTTGAAATGAACTTTGGTGATATTGAGGGGACTACAGTGAAGTAAAGGAGAACAAGTTTGGTTATGTAAAAAGTTAAGTGCTTATACTAAAGAAAACACATCCAGAAGAAGGCTGAAAACCATGAGAGAAACGGAAGCTTGTCATTTTGTGGGGATTAATTCAAAAGCCAGCTTGAAGAATCCAAATAAATTATATTGTGGGGATGAGTGTTCTTGGCAGGTGTTCCTGTTTTCCCTCCATTCTAAGGTTCTGGAGGTTAAGTTTCTATTGAATAACAGTGTGCAGTGGGGGATGGTTTGGAAAATTAGCTTAAGGAGCAGCTGAAGGAATAGGGCTTGGACATGTATGGTGAACTGAAACAGTGCAGTGGCAAAAGAAGTATTTAAGACCCTTTTTGATGAAACAGCAACATCTGATGAAGAATTTTGTAACAAGTCCTTGCTTGTTAACAACTCTAGTAAAGTGTAGCAGATAATCTGGAGAACATTTCCTCTAAAATTTCAAGGGCATCTTCATACTTCAGTTTAGGAGCACATGTTAGCAGAGAGCAAATCTTGCTTGTGACAGTAAAGCAGGTCGTTGCTACCTTTGTTCAGTTGTGCAATTTACAAGCAAGGGAATAACTAAGGTATTAATAATGTTTTGGTTGCATATTGGTCTCTTGGCTTGACCAGAGCTGTTATGATCACATAAAATAAAGGGATTGTGATGTAACTTTGATAAGCATCATTTTGCAAGCAAGAAGTGATCCGATATATATGCTAAGCATCCTCTGTTCCTCTAAAAGTTGGGGAACTTCTTCAAAATGATGGGCTGGCTGATCTAATTCCTGGTTGTGATTATTGTAATGCAAGTCTCTGCTTGCAAAGTCTTATGTGAAACAGGTGAAGAACAGCTGTTTAACTCTCATCTCTTATAGCCCTTTCTTGTTTCTTTGCTGCTCCTTTATATTGTGTAAGTTTGTGTTAGTACATTGGATCACAATAGAATCTGTGAGCTTCTTGAGTCACAATTACCTTTGTATGTTGTATGGTACATCTAATTACTCAGCTGTTTCCCAGGATAATGGATTAATAAATTTCTAGGGGAAAATTATAAGGGATTTTCTTATGCTAGTATCAGTCTTATATTCTGAGCCTGCTGTATAGTTGAACTTAAGACTGGCATTGAAAGTTTCACCTAAAAAATATAAGTATCGTGTAATATGTGTGATTTCAATTTGTGGCAAAAATGGTAGATGACTGTTTAGGTCAAATGGGCAACATACCTGTTGACGTGAAATAAGGTATCATTAGTATTTAAAGCAGAACATTATGAAATGAAAACTCATATGGTGAATGTTGAACACTTTTATTAATCGTATTTAATCTATTTGCTATTGCCACTAAAGAAACTCCAAGCATTATTTTTATGGTATGGTCTGGGCAAAGCTAAACACGAAGGAGCAACTTCTCACTGTAAACTACTTAGAAATGAGACAGAACTAAGTGTTAGAGAAGGCTGAAAAAATATACTGTTGGGAAATGTTTCAAATAAGCCAGACATAATATTAGTATGTTGCAAATAATATGCCATGCCTAAGGGTGTGGAAATGAACTGAATATTAATAAGGCGGCTTCTTGCATTGTTCTGTGTGTAAAGCAAATGATTAAGAGAGTATACATAATTTTGCATACTGCTCTGTAGTTATTAAAGATAGTAGGACATTAACACATCATATCACACTAGTATAAATTTGTATTTTTAACTTTCTGTTAAGACTGAAACTATTTATCTTTTTATATACTCCTATGACCACAGATTCTGGCTGTTAAGATAAATGATGACTTAATCTAAATAAGAAGAGGGAAAAAGATGGGCCATGGTGAGAGTTCAATTCAGAAGAGCAGCGCAACATCAGCATTGTCTTGTTGCTATTCAGGAAGAAATTCTACTACAGAAGGTAAAATAACTTTCTTTCACAGGTCAACACACTTTTTACTTTATTTTAATATCTACATCTCATTTTCTCTCGAAGTCCTGTGTTTAGCTGTGTTTTGTTTTGTGGTTTATCCTCTTCTTCAGGAAAAGTGGGTGCTAGGTCTCAGCAGATGTCCACACTTGGCCAATCTTACCTGGGCTCAGATGTTAATCAAGCTTAGGTGTAGTTATATAGATCTCCAAAGAACATTATCTCTGTAGCTTAATCTTTGAAGAAAAAAAATATCCCAGAAGAAAGCAATGGCAAACTATTGTCATTTTGCTGGCAAGAAAATTACATGGACATTTCTGTGAAGTTTCTAGGAACTGAACTTGTCTTGAAGGAGATTTTATCATTTCTATGGCTATTTCAGAAGTATGATGCTCAGGAAAGTAATTAAAGTCTTCTCTGCCTTGAAGAGTAATTTGCTTGGCAGCTTGTAAATCATGGAGCACACAAATTCTAAAATGTTATCTCATCTGTGAAGAAAATAAGCTTCTGATTTCAGTGTTCAGTGCCAAATTTTCTTCTAAGAAAGGTATAATTTGTTCATGCAGAGTGCAGGTAGATATATTCATGGATTTCATACATTTTTATGAAATGCTATAAAATAAGAACTCTGGTTTGTTTCAAAGGAGTTTAACAAGCCTTATACAAAGATTTCAGAGAACACAGATGATGCCTTTAACTTTGCATAAACATGGAAGGAGTAGCTATTAAATAATGAAAGGTGTTAGCTTTCAAGAACGGATGTCTATATTTCATATGCATGGCAAAGATTGTGTACGGCTGGACATAATTTATTTTAACAGAAATAATTGTCTCTACTTATATTTGTTTATGTAAATTCTGTTGGTGTTACCTCTTCTGAAGCAGTTTGTGTCAAGATAGAATGTTATGAACACTGATTTTTTATTATGTTGAATTTAATTCATTGGTTGATCAATTTATTTTTATTGATGGGATATATTTTCTATGTTTGTAATATGAAAAGACTGCTGATAATATCTTGAACTAATTGCATCATGAGGAATATAGTGAGATATATCTACACAGAATGGTTCTTTTCTGACAATCTTCCAGTCTAAGGAAGAGCAGATAGACAAAATATTTGCCAAACAGTAGAAGAGATATAAGCCGACTAGTCATAAGTAGTTCAAATGATTGTGGAATATTTCAACTCATTCTAAAGGGAAGAAATTCTGCAGCTTGAATTCCATGGGTTTTGGAATCCTCTGATTGATCTCCAGTATTTGCAGAGAAGGGAATAGGGGGGATAGCAGCCATCAGCAGTGATCTTATTACTAACTAGAATTGTGTAATCCAGATTGAAATTCTTTGGAAACAGAAAACCTTCTAAAATATAACGATAAATAATTTAGAATGTGTTTTCTGAGAAATTTCATTAAGACTGTTCCTAACAGTCTGCTTCTACAGTTGAGTATATTCCCCAGCAAAGATAAGTGGTACAGTTGCTTCTTTCAGATACCCGGATTGTTTTGTATGTGTCTGCTTCATTAAACAAGTGCTATCTTGGAAGTAAATTCCTTTTAAAAAAGAAGAAAACTCTGGAAATTTTCATCATAAACAAAACAGCTCGAAACAACATGAATAGATTGTTTGAAAGTTGTTTTTCTTGTCCCTGTCAGCAATAGACTAATTCAAATGTTGGCAAATAGTACATTTCAGCAGTTGACTACTATAAATCTGGTACAGTGGGGTATAATAATTATTTGGGTACTCCTCCATGGCCATAGAATCCACATTTCTTGATGTTTTTGATAAATTCCAAATACTGGGTTTAGCTAAGAAGAAAAACAGCTTATTTATATGATTATTCCGTTTCTGTAGGAATTGTGAAATGTGTGTATACAGTATGTCAAATCACAGATTTGGCTACCAAAGTACAATGCCAGTTAGATGTATGTGTGTGTAGATTTTTCTGGCAACATTATAAGGTATAAGGTTTGGAGAATGGTAGGCAACATTACTAATTTTCATCCCAGCATTTGAAGTGTTCATTTGTACAACTTTTTACTCTGGTGTAGCAAGCAAGATTGTGGTTGTGACTTGCAACAGTGGAAGAAAAACAGAACAAAAAGAGTCTGCTCAGGGTCTTGGTTCATACGGTAAACCATAATGTGGCTTAAATTTGGGATTTAAATGTATGAATCCAACAATCATTGCTTATAAACCATGACTTATGGTGTAATGGGTTATGTAAGCAAACCAAATTGTAGTTTATTCAAAAAACCTTGATTAAACAAAATATGGCTTAACATGTTGTGGGAATCAGTCTTAAAGATAAAAGGTAAAACTATTATATATTTTCGTGCTGTTCAGCTCTTAGATCTGACAACCCCATATTGAGAAACAGAAATGCTAATTTTGATTAATCACAACTGCTAAATTGTTAGTTGCCAGATGTTAGAGTGAATTAGAGGTCATTGTATTTTCCAGAGGGACCCCATCCTCACCTTTGTAATAGTTTTGAAGGGCAGTTTTGGTATAGGCTACAAGCAGGTTGAATATAAATATAGGTATAGATTAAACTATGGATATTATTTTCAAAGTAAATTCTTATTTATTTATTTATATTGTGATTATTTTTATGTGATTAAATTAATCATATTTGTAATTTGCAAATAGTCACTTGAAGTAGTAAAAACATACTCTACATGCAAAATATAGCATTGCATTATGCATCTATAGGAAGAATAAGCAATCAAGGTTAATGCTGTTCTGTAAAGTACAGAAATATTTCAAATACAAGATGATAAAAAAGGTGGCTAGATCCCTGCACTCTATTGAAAGGAATAGCCTGTAGTTTTAATCCATTTCCATCTTATTGCTGACGTGGTTAAAAAGCTTTACACAGCTGTAGCGGCTTTTTGTTAACATGAGCCAAATGCAAGCACATGATGTAATTTGATATCTGAAAACAGATCTAATGCAATTTATTGCGGGGGATTTGTCTTACTCATAAGACTGGCCCAAAAATGCCAAATAGCTTATAATTTTGGGGGGAAAGAATATGTTTTTCCATTTCGAGGCCAAGAAACTGATTTCATGTGATAAAATATAGAGTGTGATAGATTTCATGTGATAGAGTGGTAGAAGTTCAAATTGCAACTGGAAAGTCAGTTTGGATATTGAGATCTAGAGCTGTTTTACAGATTTATCTTATTAAAATATCTCTTAGCAATGCATTCCATTATCAAACCCATCAATACCCTGAAATATATTTTGAAATCCACAGGCTGCAGTTCTCAATTTTATTTATTTATTTAAATGTATTGGCCACCCAACTCCGGTGAACTCTTTCTAAATTGACACGTCTCATGTTTTCTTGCTGATTCTTTTCCTGGTTATTTAAATTACTTTGTGTTTGCAATACTTGTGAAATACTGTGTATTTTAGTTTTCCTATAGTGCCATAATAAAGTTAGATTATTTAATTACTAAACTGTGGAGAGACCTATTGAGAAACCTTGATTTCTCTATGCATTTTAACTTAGAATTTGTGAACATTGCTTCAAGATTAGAGCATGTCATTCTTCTGCAGTGAAGGGGATTTGTTTCTTAGTGTTTCTCTTATATTTTAACACTGTTTTTAAATTGAATTTATGTTTTACAATAAATGGCCTTTCACTTTTTGAAGCTAGTTGAACCTCAAATCATGCATGTTTCCACTGGTCCAATACTGTATCTGACTAATTACACTGGAAAGCCTCCAGAGCTCTCTGATATCTTACAGAATATCCTTACAAGCCTCATCAAGTTTCTTTCTGTTTTGCATGCAGAATATGTCGCAGTTATCTTATTTATGATTATTACTAAAATTTTAGTAATTTTGGTCTTTGGGGTGGTATCCATTTTTTTCAGTTTGAAGGACTTTGGACTTTGTCCTGTGCTTCAATTAATGTCTCTAGGTAAAAATCAAACCAAAGTGATATATTGGGTTTGGTTAAATTATCTGTTCTCAAAGCTGGGAATAAAATCTAAAAACTTGTTTGGTAGTTGTCATTTGGTAGTTGTTTCTGTATTTTAAGTTTTATAATCCTGTGACATCATGTGGGGGATTCAGAGCCCACAGTTCCTAAAGGGCCACAGGAGGCCATCTGATGATTCAAGGACATTACTGGAAGGTCTGTGCTTGAAATGCTTTGGGGGTTTTTAAATGTGGGGAATGGAGTAGGAGACCTTTCAAATCTTTCCCATTCCTACCCAAACCTGAGAGATGACCTGCTTGGCGGGGGAGGGGCGTAGATTTAAGGAAAGGGATCTAATATTAGGAAAGCAATGAAAGAAGGGAGAAAAAGACCATCAACAGAGCGAATAGGGATTATTCCAGAGACTGTACAAAAGATGTTGGAACATTTGAAAAGAATATTACAGTGGCAGTGGCAGTATCATTGATTGAATCTCTTAAGAGAGTTTTGATTACATTTGAAAGGAATGTAAGATTTGCAAATATGGAAGAAAAGATGAATAAAAAATCTGAAGAATCTGCAGTACAAATGAGTGAGATGGAAGCAATAAGCCAAGAGATGAACAAAGATTTAGACAATGTGACACTACTGGGTTTAAAAGAGGAAGAATTTTGCCTGAGACTGAGATCAGCTATAGAACAACCTAGTGAAGATGGTAAGGAGAGGGTTGTTGAAGCCCTAAAAATATTTTTAGAATGGGAGGAAGAAGACATAGATGTAGAAGTGGGCAAGGTGTACAAAATGTACGAAGATGTAAGAAATGTACTAAGAAATATACTTGTGGAGCTTGTCAGGAAGAAGACAAGAAACCAGGTTCTATGACAACATAGAGCTAAGGATTAACATTAAGCTAAGGATTAATACCAGAGTACTGTGTAAAAGAAAAGAATATAAAATTGACTTGTTTAATCAGGGATAAGTACTTTTATAAAACATTGGAAACCCTTCATGGACTTTTTGCTGAAGATGAAGAGAAATGAGTTGATGATTT